CTTGCCGGGGTTGAAGGACTTGGTGGGCGACGACGGAGCCTTCTCGGGGTTGGCCTCCCGCTTCGTCTCCGGCGATTTCAAGAACTTGAAGCTCAGGAAGCCGGGCAGTTTGTTGTCCGTGCTGGTGGGGGACTGGGGGGAACGGGCGGCCCCCGTGCCAGCCCCTGTCCCGGATAAAAACTTGCCCTGCAGAGGAATGATCTGTTTCAGCTTCAGGACGTTGTTGGTAGCCAGCAAGGAGCTTGGCCGTTTGGGTTTCTCGGATCCGTGCCCCGAGCCCCCCGGGCCCTTCCCCTTGCCCTGGCTCTTCTCATGGCTGGGCTCCTGCCCGCTCCCGCCTCCACCGCCGGGGCCATTGGCCTTGCCATCCTCGCGGCCGGCCTCGCGCTCCTTCCGGGCGTGGTACTCAGCATGGCGCTGGCGCTCCTCCTCCTCCCGCTTGCGCCGCTGCTGCTGCTGGAAGTGGTGCTGCGCCTGGCGCTCGTGTTTCTGCCGGTGAGGAAGGGCCACAGGTCAGTAAACCAAAGCGAGGCGGCCTGGTTCCAACCCCCGCCCCGTAGATGCTGAAAAACGTGGATAATTCCAAACACCACAGATAACAGGGTCTCTGGTTCCACTAAAGGGCCATTTCTGGTAACTTCATTATCAGAAATACAGAAGGACCACCATATCCACTGGGGACTGGTTCCAAGCCAAGTGGATACTGAAAGTGGTGGATAAAAGCAAACTATATATGGCATGGTAAAAGAAAGAAAAAAAAAAACAACCCAGAAAAATATTTTCATATTACCAGAACTAACAAGTATTCATAGCATGGTCTCTGGGCCACTCTAATGGCTGGTTCTGGTAATACATGTGAAAAATATTTTACTGGGTTTTTTCCTTCTCTTTTAGTATTTTCAGACCCAAGGTAAGTGTGGATACTGCACCTGCAGATACAGGGGTCCCGCAGTGCATGAATAATCCTTTCAGGCGGGTCCTTGGGAACACTGCACATTCGTCTTGTGTATTCTCTCTTAGGGCCGCGTGCAAAGAGCAGAAAGCTCACCTTAAAGGCCTCCCGGCGCTGGTACTCCAGTTTGGCCATTTCTTCGGCCACCCAGGCTGGGATGTCCGGGATGGCCACCTGGATGATGTACTTCAGCAAGAGGGCGAAATGCTGGGGAAGAGAAGACGGGAAAAGAGCGTGTGAACTGGGTTCCGACGCTGGGAACCTGCCCTGTGTGTTACAGACACCCGTGAAAGCGCCACGACATAATAGACGGTGACGGCTCTTGGGTTTGTGAGTGCTTACGAGGGCAGTTGAGGACAGTCGGAGGTGACTTAGAACTTAAGAGGGAAAAAATGAAACAAGAGATAGTGCTGGAAGAGGAGACTCCCAGGTCGGAGGAAATGCAAGGAACTCTTTGGGAGGCCGTGGAAGGCAGGAGGGCCTGGCGTGCTCTGGTCCGTGGGGGGTCACGAAGAGTTTGACTTAACAACCAAACAACAACAACTTTGGGGGATTACTCATTCATAGGGGGCCGCCGTGAGTCAGAGACAACTGGGTGGCACAGAAAAACAACAGACAAATGAGAATGTGGAGCGGGCCTTATTGTTTAATTAGAGGACAGCGAAAGCCCCCTATTAAAAAAAACATTGATCCCAAAAACCTGGATCTGGATTTATTTATCCCCCCCCCCCAAGATGCAGACCTGGGGCAATTTCTTCAGTTCTTAGCAATGACAAGTGTGAGGAAGAGAGAAAGAGAAGGGAGCAGGAAAAAGAAAACCTTCTTACCTCCAGCACCACCACAGAGATGATGGCCCCCTCGGGGCTCAGCCACGGAAAGAGGCGCTGTAGCTGCCCACACTGGCCAATCAGGTAGCAGTTCACCACGATGGCCAGCACCCCCATCGCCTCCATCACCTTCTGCAGGGGGAAAGAGATCGGGGTGGGGTGGGGGCTTTTAAAAGGCAAGGAAGTCGACTGAAGCAAACAAGACACGCACAGGCAGGCGGGGAAAAGGGCCACGCCAAAGAGGCCACGTCTGAAGCCTCAGACCAGGTCAGACTTGAGATGGGAGGTCCTCTCCCACCAAATGATTTTAAAACTCTGGGCACAGAGGACACGGGACAGAGGATTTTGGACAAAGAGGATGGCAATCAAGGAGGTCAGGGGAGCAGGGTTTATGTAGTCTGGAGAGGAGAAGGCGATGGGAGAGCCGCCGCAAAATGTGTGAAGGTCCACACCCCATGGAAGGTGGGGCCCGTGGGCTTACTGTGGTTCTCGTAGGTGGGTCTCAACCCGGCTGGTTCCAAATAAAAAGTCTTAATTTGGACCGGGGGGGGGTGGGAAGAGGGGAAATCCTTCTCCAGACAACCCCCCCCCCAAAAATTGGACATTTTGATTGTGCTAGAGAAGAAGCCAAACCTCTTTCTATGCTGGTCTTAAAAAGATGCGGCAAAGTGATCCACGCAGGGCTGGACCAGATGACCTTCAGGGGCCCCTTTTACAATCCCACGGATCCCCGGATAAGGTGTTGTCAGTGCTTAAGTGGCTGCTAAAGCCCAGTGGAGCCCCTTAGGCATTGACAGTCTAGCCACCAGTTAGTTGCACAGGGTGGTGGAAAGAGCTTTTCTCCGGGGTGTGTGTGTGTGTGTGTGTGTTTGCCTTCGGGAGGGTTCTGTGCACCCGGGCTGACCTGCCACTCCCCGATGCTCTCCACCCGCTGCCCGAACGGGCGCTGGAGCCCCGTGCAGAGTTTGAAGGCGTCGCTCCGGATTTCGATGATGTTGTTGACGAGGGCGCACATGGCGGCCAGTGGGAAGGCCGAGGAGAAGAGGACCACGTAGCCGAACTGGATGAACATCTCCTGGTAGTCCTGAAACGTGTCCTGAGACCGGAAGGAGGCCGGGGGGGG